CAGTTTGTGTGAACGTCACTGGAACCGTATAATCACTTAGCTTGGAATACCTTCAATTTAGTTAAACAACCTTAGTTCTAGTTCGGTTGGTTATATGTCCCAATTCTCAGCCAGCGAAGAGTCTTCGATTCTTTTGCCGAAAGAGGTCACTTCATTAGCCTCCCCAATTAAGTAAGGTGTTCTATGATCGATTACTCACAAGTTCATTCCAGAGTTCGGCATTTAGATGGCCGAACCACTTTTACCATAGAGCCACTCATGTCTTTTGAGTATATATGTCCCTTTAGTTTGATTATTGTTTAGCGCACTTATAATATTTTCACAAATATAGTTGAAACAGTCAAATTCAGTGCAGAATATTGAACTTCGCAACTGAAGGCATAACATTATCTTCAAGTACCAAAACGCTAGGCCGAGAGTATTCCTTCCTCGGCCAAAGTCTCTCGGTGTAGAAGTCAGCATTGCGTCTTATCACCACAATACCACATCCATCTCATTTACCCAACCAAGCTTGAAGGCAAATTGGCATGCCCTCATCAACAACCATCCATAGAAGAAAGTAGTGAGCTTGATGGCCAATTTCTTGATAGAAATTTTATCACCTGCAAAAGTAGAGATAAAAACACACAAAAATACTTGCAAGAAAACAAGGTCGTTTTCCGTAGGGATTGAATGAATAATTTGTATTTAAACTAATTCTTAATAAACTATTTGAAAACAAAGTTTAGAAGAGGTTGATTTAATGATCTAAAATATTAAAAACGAATTTAATTAAAAACAATTAAATAAATTGATAAAGTAAGGAAAACAAAAGAAAATAGTTTTGAAAACCAAATTTTAAAAGCTTAGGGTTCTGCCGTCCCTTAACAATTCTATGTAAATTTACCAATTACTTATGAATTACCCATGCAACTTTGAAGGTTAGGTTTTCCTCATGCATATTCTACTCGTGGTATTCAAGCTAAAACATATATCAAACTTGCAATCCGTTTGTGGTATTCAGATCAAATATAAACATGCATGACTCATTAAGGTTTGTGAAAACCCTTTGAAAAACCATGCAACCCCCAAGACGTGGTATTCATCCTAGGTGAAATTACTACTACCAAGCACAAGAAGCAATACTTAATTCTCCGATGGTATTCCGACCGAATTGCATCTGATTCCTTATCTAAATATCTCAATGGTAGCTAAGCAGTAAGATATAGAGACAGTTTAAGCATAGTGACTAATAATTCACAACATGCATACGTAATATCATAAGCACTTAAATAAAGACTACATATTCATGCTAAGGCTCAAGGCATCGCCCTAACAAAAAAAAATTAGTTACGAACAACCATAAAACAAAAGAATTTTATTGAAATAGAAAAATGATAGAAAACACCTAGAAAATAAACTTCAAAAACTCTATAGAGTAGTGCGTGCATTTCCCCTCACCCTATGTTGCGTTCTCCCCCTTCTTCTAATGGCTAAAAAGTCTTATTTATACTACTAGAAAATAAAACCCTACCTTGAAAAGGTCTTAGAATAAAACTAGGAAACATAATTAAATGATAAAATAGAAAATAAAAGGTTTCCTATTTGAATTAGAATTCGGAGTTCTCAGAAAATTAGTCTTTTGACCGACCAAATCAACTCCAATTTGGTCCCAAAAGGTCCCTTTTTAAAAGCTTGAGACGTCCCAAACAAATCCTCAGAAGGAATCTTCCTCAAAATATTCCATCTTGACCTCCAAAATACCCAAAACGTCCAGAAATGTCAATCTGAGAAAGCTGAGCGTTGGGCCTTAATTTCATTGCCACGGTCAAACGGCCTAGTAGAAAAATCTGGAATTGTGGTACAATCATCATACATAAACATCCTCCAATTGGAATCACTCCAAAATTCATTTGTTTGAATACTTTTTGTTCTGGAGGAAATCGAATGTCCTACATTGAAAATATATAACAAAGTATCAAAATTCTACCAAAATAATTACCAAATTAATACTAAGATTAGGGTAAAATATATGGTATAATATTGACTCATCAGAGCCACTCATTTCTTTTGAGTATATATGTTCCTTTAGTTTGATTATTGTTCGGCACACTTATAATATTTTCACAAATATAGTTGAAGCGGTCAAATTCAGTGCAGAATATTGAACTTCGCAACCGAAGGCATAATGTTATCTTCAGGTTCCAGAACCCTAGGCCGAGAGTATTCCTTTCTCGACCGAAGTCTCTTAGTGTAGAAGTTAGCATCGCGTCTTATCACCACACTACCACATCCATCTCATTTACCCAACCGAGCTCGATGGCAAATTGGCACGCCCTCATCAACAACTATTCATATAAGAACATAGTTAGTTCATTGATTACTCGGCCTGTTCGCCACGTAAGTCTTGTAGTTTTTAGAGTCTACACTTGCATATAGTTTCATGCTTCTTCAATTTAAAATTATCGTTAACTACAACTTGTGTGATTAATTTGCTCATTGTATACAGCTGCAAACTTATATACACGACAAACCATGGAATCTTCTTGACGTGGGAAAGTTAGTTGTTTTACATAACCTACATTATGCTCATGAATTATCATGGATGACACAATACTACGGAAATCAAGACTTTAATATAGATATTGAATTCGTCATTCATTAGCCGGACGATAATTTATCATTGTTGTCATAGGCGTGGTCGCTTTGTTCGCGATTAGAGACATTGTTTAAGGTTCAATTAGTGCCTAATTAAGTAAGTTTTCAAATAATATAGAGCTCAATTATTCTTACTGGCTACAGGATTGACCAACTTGAATACTCAGCCAGTTGGCTGTTTGTATTACAAACAGAATTTGATTGATTCAATATAACTGCCATTTAATATGAGGTAATCGGGATGATTAAGTGTTTTGTTAAGTTTTGTTAGCAGTAGAAATAGACTGTTCATCACCAAAATGACGTCGCTTCTAAACAAAAGTGGTCACCATTAAACGTTGTTATTGATGGGTACACAGAAAGCAGCTATTAGAGTAATCGTACTAGTTACACCTCATCTTATCGCTATGATCATTTAGGTTATTAAACTCTGCAATCGGTGCTCGAAGATGCAGTTGCGTCAGTAGCCCAACGGTTGATGTAATTTTTTCATTTAACATTTGATATATTTTAAATTGCTTACTCTTTGCCAGGCCACTATAAGTGGAGATGGTTGATGAACCCAGAAAATATAACAAATTAGTAAATAAGCAATTTCATAGCGAGCTGCCGACTAATGACTATACCTTTCTGGTTCATATATAGTTAAAGTTCTTTCTATTAGATTTAGCAAGATGTTTTGATTAAAACAAGAGATTATGTAAGATGTAAGATAAATAAAAAGAATAATGTCTGCAAATTTGCGTTAGCTAGGTCAAATGAGTTTGTACGCCTTCTATGCACGAGTTTAATGACTCCCTTCATAGATATATTAAAGTAGTTTAAAATATAAATTTCATCCATAGAAATTCAAAGTAAGTGGTCCTAGCTAGTACTCCTGAAGATACGGCTCATCAAGTTTGCGGCTTTAAAGTTTTTCCACCTCTAGTTATATAAATATCATAAGATCAGCCTTCTTTTTTGAACTTTTTTTAGGTCAATATATATAGGTCAGTCTATTTAACACTTAGCTTCATGTCTTATTCATTTGTCTTTGATTTTGGAAGGCGTAAATTAAGCTCAGGATTTGGTGAGAAGATGGCATATTCAAAACTCCTAATTTCCAAACAAGTAGATGCTCCTTCAACTGCAACACCAACAAGATTATTTAAGCTGTGTTTGGAGAAGTGGCACATCATAGTTGCAGTTGCAGGTGCTGTCTGCATGTCTCATTCAAAATATTTGTAATTTCAGGAAACTCTGTCTTAATGTCGTATTATATAATCAGTTTTCCTTTTGAATGAGGGGCATTAATTAACTCATTAATTAAGTTTAATTCTTTTGTATGAGCTTTTGCTTTCTATGAACTATTCTCTTCTAGTTCTAAAAGTATATGAGTATGGGCGGATGATTGGTGAACCAAATGCCTCAATACTTATATTTATTCTTGTTTAATAACATCCGTACATGAGATTTGAACTTTAAACATCCTTAAAATAGTGAGGCTAAATGTTATTAGATTGATTACATTGACCAAATGATCGCAGTCAGTTTAGCGTAAGGTATATAGTTTAGTCGCCATACAGAATAAAATAAAGAGAAAAATAAAAACAACTAACAGAAATACTAGAAAACCAGCATTCGAAACCTTTCTTTATAACAAAAAATATAAATAAATACCAGTTTAATTTACAAATACATTGCATGTAGCCTGCTGTGGTAGAAATGTATAACACGTCATGCTGTGGAAATGTGGAATAGAACGATGAATTGTGAGGTGGTATATATTCTAAGGAGAAATTACTCAATATGTTACAAGAAAAATAACGAAATTGGTGGGCGGATTTAATAAAATATTGCATGCTTTCCATTCTACGACTATCCTTTAATTAATTGTGAGAAAAATAACGAAATTGGTGGGCGGATTTAATAAAATATTGCATGCTTTCCATTCTACGACTATCCTTTAATTAATTGTGAGGAGCAGGTAAAACAATATATCCCAATTCCACTAATTTAGTAGCAGCATGAAACGTGTCATTTTCATGGGTTAATTTATACTGCTTGTCACAATCTTTATGATCATAAGCATCTTATGGAGAGGAATTTTTGGGTGTACCTGAAATATAGTCTCTTGGTGTGTATATACTTCAGTTTTTTTAGTTTGTTTAAATTTATACAAAATTTAAAATAAATAAATAAAAAAGTTTAAAGGTCTATCACAAATGTGTATTATTTGAGACTCAGATAAATTGTACTGACTACTAAATCCAATTATGACCATGGATTATCATTTTTGCTACATTATGTATTGGGATTCTACTTAAAGACTAGCAATTGTCAATGTTTATTGGGAAACAGTGCGACCCTTGTACTAAACCCAGCTAGGGTTTATTCACATCCATCAAGATGGTCGGAGAGAAGCGTAAAATAAGATCGTGTTCACACATTTTTATGGCCTCATCACGTGGAAGCGTAACCATTACCACCCTACTTAGCTCACCATTGCCTGGCTTCGCCGGAAGGATCAAAACTTGCCCTAATGCGGACACCGGCTCAACATAACACGACACACGAATTGGTACTATCACATCTTCAAAAATAATCGAAAATGGGTCCACACCCTCTAAGCTAGCACAAATGAGATCACAACTGTTCATCAAAGACCGAGATCGATCATCCTTACATACAAGCCACTCGATCAAATCCATGATTCCCTCACGGTCCATTTTGGCCACTACCTCACCTATAGAACTTGCAGCTTGTGACAAATTATCTTCTTGGAAACCCTCCAGATGAACCTTATTATAAACCATGCAATTTCCAAAGAAGCCCTTATCTAACCCCAAAACTTTTCTCATATCCAGGCGTATAGACATGTCAACAAGCCCATTTCTCGTTCCTTTTACCTTGCTAATACAAACCCAAAAGAGCCCAGAAAGGGCCTCAAACGGTGTTGGGCTTGATTTGTCAGTTCCATTAATGGGCTGGGCCATGGCAATGCAAGCCCGAACCATGTCGTCTGAAAAAAAGAGAGTAACAGTCGTGTGTTTTGCATCTACGATGTGAATTGACTTGCTGATGGAGGTTTTATAATGGTTGATCAAGGCAGTGTAGGGCGTTTGGTTCAGCTTTCCGTTTCCTGGCCTCTGCGAAGGCAACGGGTAGAAAAATGGAGGGTGCATCATTTTGCTGAAGACTGTCGTGTCGGCCCAAGCTTTGATGAACATGGTTGCACAAGTTTGATCTGCAAGGAGATGAGTGCAACTCAGCCCAATTGCTAGTCCACCATCCTCAAATTCAGTAAGCTTCACACAAGAAAACACACGAAAAAGAGACAATGCTTCTACATGTTATTACGAAGAAAATGATATATTGTCCGTCTATCAATCTAAACACTATGTAGCAAGAAACCAATCCTACTAATGTTCAATTAGACTACATAGCATTTCAAACTATTTACTACGAGAAAATATTTTTCTGTTACAAGAAGAAAATCCTAAGTGTAATCAATTATACACAACTACGTATCTATCTCATCACATGATTAATCTACATGCTGAAAGAGAAATACACTTAATTGTGTACAAACGGAGATAGAGAAGCTATTCTCAATTGCAGAGGAGTACTAACATGATTACCTGAACATAAAATGTAGACCAAAAATAAGGCTTATGGTACATTTCCTCCCAATAAACAAGCATAAGCTCCTTCTCCCTATCCACATTTCTTAACCACTCCTCCAAACTCCCTCTGGCCTTAGCCTCAATCATTCTCACGCCCGCATCATTGCACTTTATCATCCACTGCTCTTTGTCAGTCTTCTGCAACCGGCCTGTAATTATCGGATAATTAGTAAGTGTTACCGCAAGGGACTCTCTAAGCTTCGTTGTGATTTCACCAGGCTTTGTTGGCACTCCAGTTGATGGATAGTACAACACCATCCTAAGGTGGTTCTCTTCCATGTGGCGGTCAAGAACGGATAGGGGGTAGGTTTTTCCGGCTTGGACAGGCTTCGTGCTCACCACGGTTCGTTTGCAGATGAATGTGATAAGCTCGGCCATATTGTTAGGATGTAAGATTACAGAAATTGGGATGTTTGATGACGATGAGTACTATTATTTATTGGTTGGTTTTGTGTTACGTGTGTTCCTTGTAGTAAGTAAGAGAAAGGGTGTCCATGTTTACAGGCACCAGAAAAACTAATTCTTGTATATTGAGGAAAATGAAAATCTCATGATCTATTAAATTATTCTTATGGTTTCTACAATCTGTTCGTTTGAAATTGTTTCCCCCTTGATTTACAAGGTTAATAGATTAGGGTTACCTTAGCATATATAGAAAACTCTTATGCTGCTAAACCTAGCAGCTATTTGTTCTTGAAAGAGATTTCAGTCCCTAACTAATGATTAATTTGTCATTCATGTTTAAGAATGAATAGTTTGTCATTAAGTAAACTTGTATTAATGTTCACGAAAATGATGTATTTAGACTTGAGTTAACAAAAGTTAGCCTGTATTGAATGTAGACTTTTTATGACTTCTAAAAAGTACATGAAAATCTTGTGGTATTCAATTATGACACTTTTGAGAGTCTACAAAAATGCACGTGTATCCAAAATTCGGTACTTTAAATGATTTTAAAAGTCATGGATTTTGATAGACTTTTAGTGGCTTTATAGTAAGTTTTTTGTCCTAGCAAATCCAATCTCTCCCCAAAATTTTGGTGGATTTCATTTTTTCTAAATTCTCTAATGATACTCTACCATCCAGCGTAATATAATGGTTGTTACTATCACCACTTCTACCACCATGTCACAGCCATCATCACCACCCCCATCCCTACTCTTCCACCACCCCGACACTCACACAATCACCACCCCTAATATTATTGCCGCCACTGAAAGACACCATTTTTACTACTATCATCTTGCCAAAAATCACCACTGTGACACTTCCACCATCATCATAGCCACACTATCATCTCATATGACTACTTTGTCATGGTCATGATCACTACTTCAATAATAAAAACTCAAAAAAAAAAAAAATGATATTTACAACAAATGATCATTAAAAATTCCATGAAAATCCACAAAGTTCAAAAAAAAAAAAAAATTATCTCTTTAGAGTTCTGCAAAAGTCATTCATTTAACTCGTTTTTATCTTAAAAGTCTATATATAAAAGTCTACGAAATTTTATGGAGTTTATAATAGTCAATAAAAGCCTACTAAATCCGCGAAAGTGTATGAATTTAATTAAAAACTCAACAAAACTCCATATAAACTTTAACACTCCTATACTTATGCTCCAAAGTGCAAATACAAAATCGCAATGCTCACTTATGTTTTAAGTGGTCTACGACTACCCCTTAGCTTAAGATATAGGGCAAGGGAAGGGACATAAATTAGCGATAGACTAACACCTAAATGCAGTTGAAGTCATCACTTCGAGCTTGATTATGCTTAACTCAACCTGAGTTTTTGTTAAGTATTGCTACTTAAACACATAAAATTAATCATACTATAGGAAGTCTCATTTCTATTGAAATTTGTCAGTTAATGTATCGATTTTGTTTGTTTGAACAACGTTATTGTTTTCTATTTCTCTTTTCACTTGCTTCCCATTCTTAGTTTTCAATTTGTCTTCTACCCAGGTGAAATATGAATGACTTGTCCTATCAAAACTTTAAGATTTACATTGATGTTGGTAAGGGATTAGGATTCTTTCTTCCTCTTTTGCCATCCCATTTCCTCAGCTCCTCTCAAACTTTTCATTTTGTCTTTCTTTATATAAAGAAATTAATACAAAATATTGACGTGACTTAATTGTGACTTTTCAAATAGGAAAAAAGAAATGGGAGAAAAAAAAAGTGAAGAGAATCCTAACCGGTTGGTAAGTCCATTCGGCTAGCAGACCCAGACACCCAAAATACAGCCCAAAGATAAGCGGCTGGAGAAAACACGCGCGCATCGTGCACTTGTCAAGCAGCAATCTCCATCCTCCACATCTCATCACATCACACGAATCAGATCAGATACCCTCCCGACTCTCTCCTCCCCTCCCCAAATCTTCCCCCACAATTTCACGTCTACGATTAGGGTTTCTGAAAATGTCAGGTGCAGCAGTAGTGGTGGGTTACTCGAGCTCCTGGGCACGCGCCCTCGTCCAGATCTCTCCCTACACTTTCTCCGCTATCGGCATCGCCGTCGCCATCGGCGTTTCTGTCCTCGGCGCCGCCTGGTTTTTCCCTTTTCCTTGTTTCCTCTCCATTTCTTAATTAAAGTTCTAATGTTTGGATTAATTACTGATGATGAATATTATTGGATGGAAATTAGGGGGATATATATAACTGGGAGCAGTTTGATCGGTGCAGCAATCAAGGCTCCTCGAATCACTTCTAAGAATCTCATTAGGTGATGAAATTTCCGGAATTTACTGCAATTTTGCTTGCATTTTCGTTTAATTTTAGCTTCTGCTAGTAGATTTGGAGGAATATAGCAAACTTATAGTAAATGTGAACCCCGGACAATTAGGATTATCTCGATGGTCTGGAGTAGCATCCCAGTAAATGAAATCGATAGTTGATTATAAATCTTAATTGAAAAATGGGTCGTGTTTTTATTCGCAAATGCACTTATAACTAGCTTGTTTAATTGATTGATGGATGGAGAATTGTGCTATCTATTCGAACACGCCCAAAACTGTTTCTTAACAGTTAACACCAGTGTGGGATTTTTGCTTGTCTCAACGATGCACCTTGAATATTTGAACTTTTACGTAACTCTGCTGATTGTGAATTACTTAGTGTGAGATCAAGATGATGATGTTTCGCGACTGACTTGGACTGGATGTATCGGTTGTCTCAGTTTTATCTTTTGTGAATGGAAATTCTTAAAACTAGCTGTGTTAATTGATTGATGGATGGAGAATTTATTTAAACCCTTGTAAAACTTGTTTCTTAACACAAATGTAGGAAATTTGCTTATTGTTAACGATGGACCTTGAATTTCTCTACTTTAATGTAGCACTGCTGTTTGTAAATTTTGAAGGGTGACATTAAGATGATCCGATTTGGGACTGACTTGGAATGGATGCATTTTCTGTTGCAGTGTTATTTTTTGTGAAGCTGTTGCTATATATGGTGTTATTGTTGCAATTATTCTACAAACAAAGTTGGAGAGTGTTCCAACATCAAAGATATATGCGCCCGAGTCTCTTAGAGCTGGATATGCAATCTTCGCCTCTGGGATTATCGTGGGCTTTGCCAACCTTGTCTGCGGGTTAATATCTTTATCCTTCTCTATCACATTCCTGTATATGGAGTTTTGAAAATTTTCAATGACAATACAATATGATGATTTTGTTGTGATTTTGTGACAGGTTATGTGTGGGAATTATTGGAAGCAGCTGTGCATTGTCTGATGCCCAAAACTCCTCACTTTTTGTGAAGATCCTTGTGATTGAGATCTTCGGCAGCGCACTTGGATTGTTCGGAGTCATTGTGGGAATCATAATGTCAGCTCAAGCAACATGGCCTTCGAAATGATGATTCCGTTGCTCGGTAAAACTTGGCATCACATTAAGACAGTGTTACGTGCATGCGCGAATGAATTCTGTAATTTGTTCTTTTCATCATTAGTGATAGGAATGTTAAAACTGCTTGGAGATACCATCTTGCCCTATTGTATCAATCTTAGGCTGTATTTAATCTGTTGGAATGAGTTGTGGGAGAACGAGTTAGGCATTTCCTCATTCATGGTGGTAAACAATTTTATCTTAGTTTTGAACGAATAACAGAATGATCTTTGTATGCATCGATTAAGGTTGTTTTCTATACAGCTTTGTTTCGAATGCTCAATATTGTGTTCAAATAGTTTCAGGTTCAAACTTTAATACGTGCATATACAAAGACCGAACAATACTCAGAATAGATATCATGCTTTATCGGCTACAGAGCAACGGGATCGGAATCAGGACGATCTGTCTTGACGATTATCCGGTGCATAACATTTGAATTAAAGTAGTATGGATGGAACATCGGTGAAAAAGGGCATGAGTTTCTGCTGAAGCTTGTGGCACTCTTCTGGGTTAGCGGTCTCGGGGTTGAAAAGTTGGCGATCAGGAAGAACAAGGCCTTGTTTAATCCGACCCATTCGCATTGCGTGCAAGACTTGTTTACGCACGACTGGTAATCGAATTGATTCATATTCTTCAAGAGCAAATTGCAAATCTTCTGCTCCCCACTTCTTCAAGCAGTGACCTAGCACCACAGCATCTAGCACCGACATGTTCGTGCTTCTTAAGGCATGAGGAGTTGTGGGGTGAGCTGCATCTCCAACTAGTCCCACATTGTCCCAGTAGATTTGTTCCAAGGGACCGCTTTCATATATGGCATTGATGAAAGGCTCTTTTGTTTCTCTGATCACTCTCACAAACTCCGGAAGCCACATTTTCTCTGCTTCTTTGTGCATACTCTGGATCATGTCGTTGCTCGCCTTCATGGTCATCGAGTTAGGCTTCAGACCAGGTTCGGGTTGATGGACGTACCAAATCCAATTCAGCCTTCGGTTTGGAAGCTCATACAGCATAGTGTGAGTCCCAGAACCTAAGCCAAAGTACAAGCATTTTCCAAGCTCAGGGTATTCCTTTCGGATGCCGGTTATGGTTTCTGAATCCTCATTTCCTGCAAAATCAAGCACCCCTCTCCATGTGCAATAACCCGAATACCTAAAGCAGCACACACAAGATCACTACACACCACAAGCTCAAAATATGAAAGTTTTCATGAAAATGGTTGACACTTGACAGTAACAAACCTCAGTTTATGGTCAGAAACAAAACTTTGGCGGATGGAAGAGAGACATCCATCTGCTGCAACGAGCAAATCACTGATCATTTCGATGACTTCATTGGTTTCATGGGATGAAGCCTTCGCTATAACTTAAAACTTGTCACTAGATATGGAGAAAGAAAGGAAACGGTTACCCCAAAGAAATAGGTTTGGTGGAAATGCATTGTATAGAAGAGCATGTAGGTCACCCTAGTGTCCTGCTCTACAGTTCAACTCCTCATCTCTAGTTAGTGTCCATTTCACCTTTTTCTCACCATCTATGGCATCATTCTAGCAATAAAAAATTTCGAGCTTGTTAGAAAACTAACAAATCACAGTTTAACACGTGAACAAATTTTTTTACTTTTACGAGTTACTTTTGCATAAGTGTCATCAGCATTCAAATTACAGACCAACAAAATAGAATTGAGGAATTGTGTGTTTGTACTTGATCAATTGTAAAGGGCAGAGTGGTTTGGCGAAGAAGCTCAAGTCATCTCCAATCGAGGGCCAAAGGGCCAAATAACTCGTTTTAGCCCTATCACAAAAAACCATCTCCAACCGAGGGCCAAAGGGCTATAAGCCCAAACATAATTTATTATTTAAATTTAAAAACTACAATAACTTAAATTTAAAAATAGCAACTTAAATTTAAAAACTACAACTTATATTTAAAAACTACAAATTAAATTTAAAAACGACAAATTAAATTTAAAAACAACATTAATTTAAATTTAAAAACTACAACTACTTAAATTTAATATTCATAATCAACATCATCTTCATTATCTGTCATTGTAGGAGTATAGCTAGAGGTAAATAACTGTTGTTGGGTCATAATTTCTTCTTTTTTCCCTATGAAAATAGGCCTGACTCATTAGAGTGTAATTCAAAGTGTTCCTTTCCATATTCTTATCATCCATCTCTTCTTGTATTTGTTTGGCCCGCTCTTCATGCCTGCGGTTCCTTTCTTCCACGTCAAGGGCAGTTTGCTCCACCATTAATCACAATGAGGCCGCCACTTCTTGTTGAGCGGCGTAATCATCATTTGCTTTGCCCTTTTCCTTCAACTTTCATGCCTTGTTTCGTCCCATAGCCCTAGGTATGGAATCTTCACTCGAAGACGGATTTTCTACCCTTATTTGTTGAATGGTAGGAGATCCATCTTCATCCATATCTACAGACTGAGGATGTAGTTCCAAACACCGACGTAGGACTTACTCTATGTTGAGGTGGACCTTCAAATAACACCTACCCTTTACAAATTTCTCAATAACTGTAAAACTAAAGGGGTTCGAGCTACCCTCCATATACAATTCCTCCGCTTGGCGTACCTAGAAAATATAATTACAAAAATTAAAGGAAATTAATTTATGAAATTAAATGTAATATAATTAAATGTATTTACAAAAATTAAAGGAAAGTAATTCATGAAATTAAATGTAATATAATTAAATATTTAAAATAAATTGTGAAAACACTTACTTCGTCGTAGTAGTTAGTGTCGCTTTCATGTCTACTTGCGACTGCTAACAGTGCTTGATGCCATTTGTTCAAACTTGGGTGAAGATATTTCTTCCATCTTGAAGAACAACTCTCATGGTTTCGGACATTCAATGAAGTGGTGTCTTCGTAGAACTCTAAGTATTTTATGGATACACGAGTCCAAACATCTTCACTTGTTTAAGAACTCACCCTCACACTATCTTTCGGCACCCAACTATAAGCCCTGCAAAGAGCTTCATCTTCTTTTCGGGTCCAAGCCCTACCTTTTATTGCTAATGAGGCCTTTTGCAAATTATTGAAATAATTGAAGGAAATATTTTTGAAAGATGTAAGAAAATATGAGAATTGAAATGGTGTAGGAATGGTGAAAATTTTGTGAGGAATGTGAATGAATGGTTTAGGTATTTATAGGAAAAAAAAATTAGAATTTTTAAGAATTTGAAAAAAAAAAAAAAAAAATGGCCCAAAAACCAAAAATAAAAAATAAATAAATAAATTTTGAATCCAACGGTAACTAGCGTCAGCTAGTAGTTGGATTCCAAAATTTGTTTAAGAATTCCTGTTAGATATAACTGACAGGATTAATAACAATGATGTCAGTTATATCCGATAGTAATTCTTAAATTCCCAGATGCTCACATGACCCAAGGCGTTAGGAAATTGAATGGCGAGTTTTAATTTAAAGGAACTAAGTGTTCCATTTCTCCCCTGCATCAATGAGGAGACACTACACCCTGTGCTACTACGAACCCGACCCATTGGCTGCTATTCGACCTTTTAGAGCTAACAGCAGGTCCTATAAGGAAGGGGATGGAAGCAACGTTATTCACAGTCGCGCACTTCTGGCGAACCCGGCCGCTCATATCTCAGGGGATAAGGGTGCAAAAACCCGAATTTAACAGGGGTGCCCTCCTTTAGGCCAGCAGGTTGGCCCTTTGGCACTTTCAGATTCCGTGGAGCCCACAAACCCTCTGTCCTAGCCCTTGGTTAGAGACGGTTTTCAGGTTATTTTCTGCCCTCTAACCCTCTGGATCCTTCGATTGGAAATGGCCTCAAGATCTTGAATCCATGACTGAATGAGTTTGAGAGAGAGAGGGTCAAGGCCAAGTCCTGCCCCAGTTTGGCTTCCAGTTGGGGGAGCATGTGATTTCTCCACCACCAAAACGTTCCACCCTGCTAATACGAGCGTATGGGCGCATGATACCCCTGCGATGCTCCCTCCCACTGTTACTGCCTTGGGTTTTTTCTTCAGACTCATCTCTCTCTCTCTCTCTCTCTCTCTCTCTCTATAGAGGTGAAGAGAGTTCTCTTTTGTCTTGTTTTGCTTGTGAACTGAAGAAGGATGGGCAGTCAGTAGAAGACGATAAGAGTTTTACAGCACAGGGACATTGAATATCGTTTTGGACTCTTGATTGCGGAGTTATATATAGTATGAAGACAAATAACGGGTACGCCGGCAAACATTATATTTTTTAATCTGGAATTTTGCTTTAATTTGTCAAATTTAAAAGTATTGTGGTCAATCCAACGGTGGACATCAAATCAGCGGCTACAAACATCCTACATCCTCATCCTCAGACACTGAATATTCTCCCTCTCCATTGGAGTCTCCAACCTCTCTCCGCTTTCCCAAATTTCCACCATTCTCATGGTACTACTGTAGAGATGAGACTCTGAGAGAGAGTAGCTATCTCGGCTTAAAGCATGTCGTTTTGCTTCTCCCTGTCAGTCTCCCCACTCTCTGTTTCTCCTTTCCAAAACCAAATCTCCAAGCTCTCGATTCAGAGCGTGCGCTGCTGACGTTCCTGATTTCCTCTCAGCCGATTGGTTCGCTCTCTCTCTCTCTCTCTCTCTCTCTCTCTCCTATTGATTGATATATAACTGATGACGATCTTGGAATTTGCAGGCTGGAATCCCGGAAGAAGAGGCCCTTTGGCCCCAGATTAAACGTAATCATCTGATCATATGGAAAAATAAATGATTTCATTCGTTGAAGTTCCTCTCTCTGTTTATGTGATATAATTTGTTGACTTGTGTTCTAGTTTAGCGCAGAAGAAGCTGTTCAGCATCAGCTGGATGCCCTCAAGTACAACGATCAACCCCGCCCCGATTATGGCATCGAGGTCATGTACAGGGTAAACTTTCTCAATTTCTTCTTCTTTTTTGGGTTGGATTTATTTTTGACACGAAGAAATGGGTTGGCTTTGGATTCTTACTGTTTTGCTTCCTGGTTTCCTGCGTTCATAGTTTGCTGGGTTTGATCCTTTTGAGAGGTCCACCTATTTCGGCCCATTCTTTGATTTGGGGCAGGTTGGTGCAATGCTGTATTTTTCAAATGATTTCCGCACGCCTTTTTTCTCCTTCTGCATAACCCTGTTAATTCTTACTTCTCCTTGGATTTATTCATTCCAAAGTCCAAGTAAACAGGGGTGTGCATGGGAAGGAAAAATCTGCGGAAATTACTCCCCTTAGTGATATTTGTAGCTCATGGTTTTCTCTTGGTTGTGTGATTCGCTATGTGTGCAGTTTGAACGATTTAGGCGAATTTTTCACCATTCAACATATAGAGTGTTGTTATGTCATAAAGAGAGGAAGATATTAAGCAGTTTAGTTGTGGAGGAGGTATGAGTACGTTGATTGATTCCGCTAACAAACTTATATGTGATGTAACTTTGAGCTAACTTAGAGTTGCCATACTAGACTCGAGTCCTCTGGTGTTGTTACACGTTTAATTGCATTTCTAATTCGATATCTTTGTTGAATGAATTTCGACTGCAAACTAGAACCTATTCAAGCAGCGGGTTTGGATAAGAGGATGTCGGCCAGAGGAAGAAGAAATATTTCAATTCACAATGGTTCAGGTTAGTGAAGATGTTTTCGCTTTGCAAAGTTTCTTAAGGGGAATAGATGAATGATGAACATGTCATATTTACGAGGCAACAAAACATGCATATAAGTTGTGTTGTAAAACCTATGGACATATTCTGAATACTGGATTTCACACCCCACCAAAACGGAAAAAGTATAGGAATCCACTGGTTGCTGTATCCAACCAAAAAATAATGTCTGCCGTCTGCAATGCTTCACGGCAGGCATGGTCTGTAAAGCGTAATATGGAACTGTATAGTCGGTAGAGTGCTAGTCAAGGAACTATTATTGAATCCGAAAGTACGACTGTGATTTTGATTTTGTAAACTAGGTTAGCCTTGTATCGATATGGATCATATGCGTTTTATACGATTGAACTATGGAAACTGTAGTTATACCTGTATTGATCTGTAGCTTCTTGTTGGCAGAGGGTTGGAGGGTCATGGGATGGTTATTGGCTGACAGAGAGTGTACTTCACGACGGAGATGCTTTTGTCGGTGGTTTGGCTTATTGAACATTCAAGGCAGCTATCGATCGACGATCACTCTAACAGAGACATTTGCTCACGCACTGCCAACCTTCCAATTTGTACATATGGAAAAATAAGCAAAGTTGTTGTAATGTCTAATATGATGTAGTTCGTATATCAAGTATTGTAAAGTCCGGAAGCAGGCAGAGGGTTGGAGGGTCATGGGATGGTTATTGGCTGACAGAGAGTGTACTTCACGACGGAGATGCTTTTGCCGGTGGTTTGGCTTATTGAACATTCAAGGCAGCTATCGATCGACGATCACTCTAACAGAGACATTTGCTCACGCACTGCCAACCTTCCAATTTGTACATATGGAAAAATAAGCAGAGTTGTTGTAATGTCTAATATGATGTAGTTCGTATATCAAGTATTGTAAAGTCCGGAAGCAGCATGTATCTTTCCTCCTCATACGTCTGGTCTGCCCCAACTCTTGAGAAATAGTTGAAGGAATAATGGAACTTCAGATGATTCATAGTAATACATTGTAACCGAAGAGATTTTACGTTATTCATTCAGTTTCCGTTTCTTCCACCTGTAGTACCGAGTGCGAAAATACAGAGAACAAAGCAGAAAATAAATCATCAAAAGAGTGATGTCCATTCATCCCTGTATGCGTGGTGCCTGCTTACAGAATTGCATTTCCAAAATAACAACACACTTCATAAAGAAAAGCCAGAAAGGGTTTTGTTAACGTGCCGGAAACCCTTACTTGGCCGTGAAATTATGAAATTTTCCATATGATCGTAAGCTAATCCGATAAAAAACCAACAATCATTTCACCGGAACATCGCAGATGAACCGTTACATAACTCAGCTTCCAATAAATTTTAGCTACTTCATAACTCTTAACAACTAGACAACATCCAGCATAATTAAGGAATAAAACAGACCAAAATTTAATGGAACAGCACCCCATTTGATGGCTTTGAGATGCTATTTCTTTGTCTGAGTAATATACTTGGTGAGCACATAGCAGTCTGGAGGAGTAATGTTCGTGTAATAATTCTGGATGGTTTCCGTGATTTCGAACCCAAATTTCTTATAGAAGTTTATGGCGTCCTCATTGTTTGTCTGAACATGCAAGTAAATTTCGGAAATATTTTGCATGGCGCACAGATCAAGAGAATGGTTCAACAGTTGTTTACCTGCAAAAATCCCAGAACTTAGATCAGAAAATTTGCGCAGTTGTAAATATCCAGATTAAGCCAACATTTACCAGTCGACAGAACCACCACAGAGCAGGAGACTTCTTGACAACTCAAGTTTGTATTCAGAAGGCAAAGTTAATCAAAGCATGGATCATGTATTTCGACCACAATGCCACACCAAAGTTATAATATGAAGAACATTGCTTGCTTACCAATGCCTAGTCCACGGTACGGTGCTAAAACTCCCAATGTCATGATGTACACGCGGACAGCTCCATTTTCCTTTTTCTCAAGCCGGCATGCAATTGCACCAACGCATATATCACTGAAATATGCTGTATACAAATAATAGCAGGAATTAAACTTTAAACTTTCATACTGTTTGTCACTTTGGCAAGTGGTCAACTCCAGCATAGACACGAGTACTAAAGAAGGGAAAAAAATCTGAAGGATGATAAATCAAGGGTATAGCTACACAATAAGTTTGTAATCGTGTTTACATATGATTATCAATCTAGTTTTAGACCATATATGCAGATTCATTGAGAAATCATAAGAAATGGACTTTGATGGCTCAGCGAATAAGCTTGTTAAATAATAGTCTCAGCACATACAATTCATAACAGGATACCTTCAAAAATGCCCAAGCCACTGTCCCACCCACTTCTTCATTCATAATGACCCTCTTTGCATGCCTAATAGAACATAACTCATCAAGAAGACATCTAATTTTGTTGTTGAAGAACTGATAAAAATCCAGGGGATAGCTAATCACTTAAGCACCTCACTGATGCTGCACCAGAACATCATCATTTATATTTAAAAATATGTAGTTACTCTCGTTCCTTTTTTTTTTTGGAACACCAACAAGCAGAAAAATTGACTTAAGACGCATAACAATCGAACTAATCATTACTATCAGAACTAAAACTACCCAAATCCCTGACATACCAATTAGTTTTCATCCCCAATTTACTTGTACAATTGTGTTGTCGACATTCTTCAAAAGTGTATCCAAATCCAAGTGACCAAACCCAGCATTTCCAAATGCAATGAGCTAAAGCCCAATATTTCCCAGCACGACCCATAAACAAATTCCATTTCGGATGACCCGAAGCAAACAAACAACCAGGACGACTATGAAATACGCAGAACGAACAGAAACTACGAAATACACAAAGATTTTACAAAATAAGCAAGAACCACAAGACATTTCAGGGAATTTGCATAAAATCTACATTAGTAACACAAAATAAGCAAACCCAGAAAATGTTATGCAAAATTAGACAAAACCCAGAAAATGTTATGCAAAATTAAACAAAACCTAGAAATATTATGTAAAAATAAGGAAGACCCAGAATCGAAGCTTAACCTAGCTTGGTGAAATCGCCGGACGCGAGGGCATCGGCGTAGTACTTGTCGTTGTAGCGAACTGGGAAGAGGGCAGTGTTGAGCTTCTTCAGCTGCATCACGTTCTTGTCTCTCAGACCGTCCAGCGAGCTTTGGACCTCGCGCCCGGCCCCCATTTCTCCACCGAGAGTTTTGCCTGCAGGGACGACGAGCAGAGAGAGAGAGAGTGAGATGTGGGGGGGGGGGGGGGGGGGAGGGTTGGGATTGTAATTTTGTACCGACATAGCGTCTTGGATTTATGCGGGGGGTGGTCGGGACGATTCGGGTCGGGTCATGAAATTAATACTGTTGATGGTTTGGCCCAAGCTTGTAAAAGTTTGAGATTAGACCCATTATAGTAAATGTCGTTAATTAGAGTGAACTATTAAAACGTTTATAAAGTTCTAGTGGTATTCAACAATTTTTCAGCAATAGTCCGAACCAATTAGTGGTTGAGAAATGGAGGGTCATGATTGAATTGATGAAATGTTATTTTTTTTAACTTGTCAATCTAATAGATAAAAAGTCAGACTACCAATAGTTTAGACTATTGAAGACAAATCCGATATTTAGTTATCATTTTTATAAAATTATTAAAGGGGGTGTTTGATGGATGAGATAGTTGTGTCTTCGACCAATTGCAAGGAGTAGAGCATTGTTTGGTATACAAGTCCACCAATTGAACGACACTCAAAATGTGTTACGCTGCTTTAATGAGGATAAAGCGAAGCTTTTGAGTACTCACATGGTTGTTCGAGCTTTGCAAAATGAGACCTATTTTGTTCTAAAGACGAGGATAAAGAGATACTGGAACCTATAGCTCCATACTTAAGTGCAATCGGTACCTTATTGTACTTGGCACTTGACCTACACAAGGTGTGTTCTTAAATTGGTTATGTCTATACCATTGAAGATATTACAATATCTTGAGATCAATCAAATAAGAGTTGATTGCTACGTCTTCAAATAACATTGGTATTCTAGCCCTACATGAAGCATTGTGCAAATGTTTTGGTTGAGGGACGTGATTGATCACATAAGAAACACATGTGGCTTTTCTACTATCGTTGACGTTCAAACAATGATTCATGAAGACAACGATGCATGTATCGAAAAATTAAAGAAATGATACATCAAAGATGACAACGCCAAACTTATTGCTCTGAATTTTTTTTTCATTCATCAGCAATAACAAGTTCAGAAGATTGAAGTCAAGCATATCCAGTCCCAGGAATGTTTCCTACCTATTCACAAAGTCACTGCCGAAGTCAACCTTTAGAAGGTTGTTAATGAAATTGGATTCCACAAACTTTTAGATTTGCATCACCGGTATTCTCTTGGGGAGTTTTGCTGAACTCAGGGGGAGTATCCTAATGAATACTCACATGATCTTAACATACTATATCCTTACGATTAGGAGCACTTTCCTAACTGGATTTTTGGTAATTTGATGAGGTTTTGACGAGACACCTACTATGGGTTGGTCTTACCCTTTTGTATTTTAATGATCATCTTGGAGATGTGAAACAATATCGAGATCCTGCATTAACTAGTTTTCTCCTTAGACTATGGGTTTGTCTCATTGGGTTTACCATAGCCAGGTTTTGTGAGATTTTCTTTTGATATGTGCCACTAATAAGAGACTCTTGTTAGCAACTATTTGTACCTAATGAGAAGTAACGACAACAACCGCCATCTTCTAATCATAAAGACTTGATGCGGCTACTTCTTGAGTTGTACACATTCAAAGAAGAAACTCTAAGAAAAGACTTAGAGTACTTGGATCTAACGGAAGACGTGACACAGAACCGATCGCAATGGTGTTCTAGGATTCATATAACGACCCCACTTAGTGGGAAAAGACTTTGTTGTTGTTGTTGTTGTATCAAGAAGTTTAACTAGAACTAGTGGTTTATGTTGTTTAAATTTAACAAGGAGGTCCTGGGTTCAAATCGCTATAGGTTTATTTACTTTCTAATGTTTACTATTTTTTTTATAAGGGTATAAATTTATAAAATTTGATCAAATGATTAAAAAGTTTAACTAGAAGTGGTGGTTCATTATGTTTGAAATTAACAAAGAGGTCTCAAATTCATAACATTATGTGTGTTTTTTTATTTTCCATTTTTTATGAATTTCTTTTCATAAGAGTATAAAATTTTTAAAATTTTGGAATTTCTTTTCATAAGAGTATAAATTTTTAAAATTTTGGTTAAATGATTAAGAAGTTTAATCAGAAGCAATGATTTTTGTTGTTTAAAATAAACGAAGGGTCTTAAGTTTGAAATGATATGTGCTTTTTTTTTTTTTTTTCTATTGTTATGGTAACGGTAGAACTCTAGGCTTTTACAATTTGATTTTCAAAATGTTTCTTTTTGTTTTCTTTATTTTGCTAATTTCTTTAATTGTTTTAATTTAAAATTATTTTTATTATTTTAAATTCCAAAATCAACATTTTCCCAACTTCGTTTTAGATAATTAATTAAGAGTTGGTTTTAACTACAAATTATTCATTCAATCCTTGTGGAAAATAACCTTGCTTGAGCTGTTTATACTACAACTACCGTGTTCTCCTGCAAGTATTTTTAATTGTTTTTATCCCTAATTTTGCAAGTGGTAAAAATCCTATCAAGTAATTGGTGTCATTGCGGGTGATTGTTTGGATTAATTTGTGTTTATCATATTCTTAGTTAATTATTTTTGTATATATTTTTTATTTATGTGTTGATTTTATTCTTTTTTTTTTTTTTTGCAGGTTATAGTTTGTTGATTTTGAAAGCCATCCGTTTTTTTACAGTTAAGCCGAATGGGAAGAAAGAGTTTTTCAACTTGTGGATGAAGAGAGTCGGTGGTACACTGAAGAATGGGCATTAGGTCAGAAACAAAGGACACGATTGAAGCTCACCTTAATTTGGAACAAATGGGCATTAGATCATTCTTGTGGATGAAGAGAGTCGGTTGTACATTGAAGAAAGGCCATCCGTTTTTTACAAT